TTACTTTAATATGTTCGCTTGCCAATGCTTACTTAAATATGTTAGCTTACCAATTCTGACTTTAATATGTTAGTTTCAATGCATATTTTCTTTGTTTAATTTGGTTATGATTTTATGACTACTGTGATTACCATGTTGTGTAATCCGTGAAGATCCGGTTTGGAATTGGTCTTCATCATCCCATGCTTGTCGTAAGAGGCGACTAACGGTATCAGGTGGTCAGGCTCGCTGACATGGTTAATGTATGTCATGTATACCAATTGCGTAGATCGATCCTCGTTAAGCCAATCACTGGATTATATTGTCCAGATTTGATTATTTACAGACCGCTGTCAGTATAGCTGAAACATTGCTGAGTGTGGAGCTAAACATCAAACAACCAAAAAACTTCTTGTGTTTACTTTGTTTCGCTAACTTTTATGCGTTTGCTTTTCTTCTCTTGATCTTCTGTGCATACTTTGAGCCTAACGATAATACCATGGAAACCGAAACACTCTTAGAGACCCCGAGTTGAACAAACCGATGGCGTCAGGTAAATATACACGCACATCCACCCCCGGACCCCAGGCATCACGAGAGAGATCGGCCTCTGTGTGGTACCCTCGGATACCGAGATAGTGTTTCCTCTACATAACAATACTGCAGTACTTGTATCTGGGGCAATCTGTATCATAGTTAGTATAAACTTTTCATTATTCATAAGGAACACCAGGTGATCTGCTCGTCGTTATTAATATCCCTCTCCGAGTGATATAAGAATAATGTAATAATAATTAATACTGGGCGATAAATTATGTTGTAACTTCAATATTTTGTTATGCAGGAAACAACCCGTTATCCGATCATTGCGAACATGCTTACACCATTCGCGAACACTCGTTCGTATCCCCACTGTTTGTCAGTGATCCATGCACAGCGCACAGAGCACTTATGCACAGTGAATGCTGCGCTATACAAATGCATATATTATTATTATTATTATTATTATTATAATTATTATTATTATTATTATTATTATTATTATTTTCAACGCTCTTGTGCCTTTGACGCCCATTGGAATCTGTTTCGGTGGATAGTTGAGACTGGTTATTCTCCGATGTTGACGTTTTATATTAAAGACTATTTATTCAAATTAAAAAATATAACCACGAATGTCTGAAAGGGATTATTCCGAAGCAAGTGTGGAAAGAAGAGTTAACATCACTACAAACGTTTAGTTTGTATACAATACGGTACTCTATCTCTCTTTTGGGTCTGGTTCAACTATATGTTGCCAAACAAAACGTTTACATAGAGGAATTTGTTTTATATCTCTAGGCTAAAAATGAAGAATCTCGTTAAAAACAGGTGGCAAAGATGCGTTAAAAATGCCACCTATGTTTAGAGGAAAGGACTAAGGGGCATGTTTGTATATCTTGCTGTGATGATGAACAACCCCAGAATAACGTTCACATCACCTATATAGCTACTACCATGGCAATCACATATCTCTGTCGTACTGCAATGGTAATGGGAGGTGGCGAAGGGGAGAAGAAGGAAGGAGAAGAGGGCAGGGAGAAGGGGTTGAGGTAACAAAACATGGAAGGCAGCAACAGGTGTTGTTTAATGCGCCGCCGGGAGGTAAACAAACCACCATTTACGACATCACACACGACGAGGATGTTCCTGCTATAAACTATCCGTGTGTGTTATCTTTAGGAATAGCGGTATTTTGAGTTCCCTGGCATGGCCATCTGTGAATATATTGACAATACATCTCATGTTAATGCTAAGGGTTGAATACACCGTTGGTCGCCTTTAATAGACTCCGGGTTCTTGATGTTTATATCTTGTAGAAGTGAAATCCTTCTTCTTTATCCAAACCTGCAATTCTTCGTTATGTGGCAGGTAGCTAGACTTGATCACGGCTCCATACGTTTTACCACAGTCACCCCAAGTGGCCAAAGGTGTCCAACGGATAACATGTTCTTCTTAAATGTCCACTTTGCAAATCGATTCATGGAATTTGACTTAATTAACTTCTTTATGTTCTATTTAGAAGCTGCTACTGGTGAATTATTAAACACACGATTAGCTGATGCATTTAATCTCACCTCGTGCTTTTAATGCGACGTTTCGTTTGTGTCTATTTTGGATAAAGTTACAAGCAAATGTGCCAATACATCGCTTTGAACGTCATTCCAGTCTTCATTAAGTGTTGGTTGTAAATTGTTATTGTTAAAACACCAGAGAACATACAAAATTGCGGTATCAATATCAGAATGTTATACATTTTAGGTCGTTATCAGTCGAGGCAAGCTTAGTGGTTTAGATAAGGTCTGATCCCTGTAGGGGTTCAGGTAAACAAGTGGAACAAATCAGGGTATATTTTTAGATGGGTAAACACCGGTCGGTTTCAGGAGCCCTCGCTTTGAAAAGATCTAAAGAGGAGCTGTTGTTCCTTCTGAAGTGAACTGGTACTCTAGATCTGTGGCAAGAATTTGCTATAACGTGAAAGCGGCTGCATAGTGAGTGATAGACTAACATTTAGTCTCTGAAATCTTATATTACACAATATCCTTCTTGACTCTAAAAATATAAAAAATTCCCTATACTGATTTCAGAGTGGGGCTAGCTTGAGCTGGCTAGACTTGCTTTTGTATGCATTTCTAGATTATTATTTTTTCATAAAATAAATATATTCCACGGTCATGGTGCAGGACTAAGTGAGTGAATGAGTTTGGGTTAACGCTCCTTTGAACAATATTTCAGTTATATAAGGGCGTGTCTCCTTGACTTGAGAGAAAAGGTTGAAGTCTTGCAGGTCGTAGAGGTTTAACTCACGAGCACGATTATGGTGCTGACAAACCTGGATAGCCTCAGACGTATCCAGGCCAACAAACCTGATCTTGTCCTTTTTTGATAAATCCAATGAAATCATTTATATTATTGAATTTTCTGTCCCGTTTGACAGTAATGTCATTGACAAGATACAGGAAAAACATGGCAAATATGCGGACCTCGCTTTCGAAGTGCCACGCTTGCATCCCAAGAACCAAGTTGTCCGACTCCCCATTGTTCTCGGTTCCTTAGGTTTGGTACCTCGCAATCTGTTGACTGACATTGGGAGAGTACCCGGGTTTGCTGCCAGGAATACAGCCCTTCTGACAATTTGGGTAATGCAGAAGGCTCCAGTGTTGGGGAGTCTTCATATTCTCCGAAAGGTTCTGGGTGGGTTTGACTAGGCAGCGCTTCCCGGGAGAAGTCCCATTCGCTGTTTGGGCTGCGTGTAGAGGGGGCAAGGGCCGTGAGCTGATGATGCGCCTGACCAGCCTAACTGTGCCAGGATCAGCCAAATCCTCTTTGCTGCATTTTTTTATTTTAAACTGTAAATAATAATAATAATGATGATAATAATTATAATAATAATAATAATAATAATAATACACAACAACACAAGGATGTGGGACATAATCTCAATGTCAATGAAGATTTTGTTGATGGTTCTGTACTGCTGGACGGTACAGAAATGAGTGTCAACCAAGCGAAGTGCCAAGTCAGATCGGCCCATACTCGGAGAAGCTATCTGAACGACCTCTGCATCGAGTTTATGTGCAGTGTGTTTGAGTACGTCGTCGCCTGTAATGTCTGGTGACATATGTACCCGAAAGAATTGCTGCATGGCAACAAGCATTGCCATGGGTTCCAGTCCCTGTCTGCCTTGAGGATATAGTACCTTATACACGATACCCTCAAGTGATAGAACATGTATATCATTGCTATGTGCCCCAGAAGCTACTATTAGCGGAAACAGAAACAACTTAAAACCACAGACGGAGCTACAAAAGACCGTTTGCTTACTAATGATACTATGTCATTGCCAAGATGCTGATACTAACCGCATACACTTACTACTAGCAATAGTTCGAACATCAGAACCTAAGATGCTAGTGTAAACCGCATACACTTACTACTAGCAGCAGCACATCAGTGCCTAAGATACTAATTTTAGCCACATACACATTCTAGTTCTAGTATATCAATGCCAAAAATGTTAACATTATCTGAAATAAAACAAATGTATTCTCTGAAAGCTTCCAACGGTGGTACATAAGATTACCACACACACGTTACCCACAAGTGATAGCATAGGGATGTTTAAGATGGTTAACATTATTTATAAGTATGGTAGTCGATGTACATGTTACATCCTCATGTTAGGTGTTATTAATCCAAGGCCCAAGTGACACACGCTAGTCTAATCGGCGTTGTTTGATCTGTTTCACATGTTGGGATTATTGATTTCGCTGCCGGGCGTTTAACAACGCTCATATCACCCCGAGTGTTTCATTACAGCCTGATTACTATGGAATCCTAGAAGGGTCATTGTCGCGTGGTCGCCCTTTCAAAAACGAGCAAAAAGTGTCAAAATTAACCCAAGCGCGACAATGCGACAACGCGGCATTTTGGCCATTTGTCGCATTGTCCACAGATTACTGACGAGCATTGTCTTTCTGCGCAGATGAGGTTTTCACGAAAACAAGCATGACGGCATCGATAGCAACTTTAGATATGACTTAAATATTTATGGACGCATATAACTTTAAAGTGTTTTCAAACACTGCTGAATGAATAGGAATGAACTCCGGGTAGGGTTATTGTCGTCTCAAATCAATATTTAACGGTCACCTTTAACCACATGAATAACCAGGCCTGTTTACTATCTAAGTCGACTCCGGACGGTGGCAACAATAACAACTAATCGTGTGATGCCAATCAATACATGTTGTATGCCTCAACACTTGTGGCCACACTTTGGCCATCTAGCGTCAAAACTCGGCCCCAGGGTGACGCTTCTGGGAGCGTTAAACCTTGAATTACACACGTCATAAACTCCGCAGCAGGGCGACGTCAAACGCCAGTGCGTAGAAGGTCAGTGGCAAAACGTCTTACTCTTTGACACGGTCATTAATTACAATGCATGGTGCATATTGTTACTAATAAGTGCATTTTCCTTGCAGCGTTATGAGTGAGAGGATGATCAGACGTATCCGTCATGGTGACTTCTGTTCCTTTGCGTGTTACGGCGGGAATCTTCATTGTGATGCTGCTTATTGCAGGAGGTGAGTCCTTTTGTACTATTAATGGAGAACATGTTAGTATGGATTTAGATGACGTGTATAGTACATTATTCCTGAGCCCTAGTCTCGTGACGTTAGTGATTATTATCTGTTGCTTGGAAACACAATCACGAGCATCAGTAAATATATTCATAACCTTTCGGGAACGAGTGGCGTTATTTATCCCATGGGCTGACGTTGCTTGCCATTGTCTTGTGTGAAACTGTGTCATTTATCCTTAGTTGAATACGAATGTATTATCATTTTCATTGCAATATAATGGTGGTTGTTTGGTACGTTAGCCAGGGACTACTGCATCCCACACTGATCGAGTTATTAAAAAGGGAGAATGTAAGCTGATTGGTGTGTAATGGTGGTGTTCTGGAAGGTTGGTGAAGATACAAATGTAATTACTTCGAAACTTGATTGGCGACCAGCTATTATTGTAATTACTATTGCATAGACATATTCACAACTTTAAATAGTTATGTATTAAGTAAATTTAACAAAGAACGACACTTTTATATACAAATGTTTCATAAGCAAAAATATACACATTTGATTCGTTTTCCTTTTGACATCAATTCCTCAATATAAAACATCCAGATATCTCAAAGTTTCTACAGACCTGTGAGAAATTTCATATTCAAAGTACCATCGGAGAATCACACCCTACAAAGTCTTCTTTTTATATTTGTTTTATGTTGTTTCCTCCCTTAAAACTTCATTCAAATTTCAAAATTATCCTACTATCATCACAACAACACAATACTTATATATGACCAATTAAAAATGTTCATATCCTGGCCCCCGGTGTCTTCTGTTTGAGTTCTCTAGCAAATCGTGTGACTTTTCTTACGCAACGGTTTAACGCGATGCTCGCTTTAAGGCATTATGGTGGATCCGAGTGACTGTATCATTTTACCGAAACCTTCAATCCTGAAGTTGAAACATGACATGTATCAATCCCCAAGGTAATCGCAGAGCTATAGCCATGTTACGTCATTCATTTATAGTCTAACTGACGTCAGCATTCTATAGCCTTCACATTTAACGAAACTGCATTTACCCCGACGGAGTGAAGTGTCCTTCATAATATCAATCAATGGTTTGCCATGTCCAGATTCGACTTTTTATAGCTGGATCATTGCTGAGTACGGCGCAAAACACAAAAACAACACATGCAATAAAACTCTATAATATGGTACCATGCTGTTTTCAATTGAATAATAATAAACTTCAATTCTTCTGGCAATGTTAACGACACCGGCAAATATGTATCCGCACATTGCCAGCACATTGTGACTTTAACTGTTCCCGGTCGGCCTGCAGATCTTCTTTCCCAATACCGATCAGGACACAGCCCTACATCAATTTGCGTCCAATCACTGATTTCACGCCTCGTCAAATCAACTCTCCTTCACAATTTGTCACGTGTCGCAAAGAAGGAAGATTACATGTAAATGTTTCTTAATTTCCCCACAAGGCTAAAATCAATGGCCAACAATGTGCGTGGATATAACCTTAATCAGTAGTGTATGTTCCGATCGTATCGCTCAGACAGCCAATGGCAGCTTGCGTTACAAGATTGATACGATGTGGTGGTGACTGCAGAGCTTAAGTCTGCCCAAGACAAAATGTTGCTGACTTCCTACTCCATCTCACTCATCAAACTTGAAGCATTCGGAGAAGGAACTGTTTTTTGTTCTATTTGCGTTGTGAAATATGGATATTGTTTAAAGGTTGAGAACGTACGGTAATGAGCATCTATAAGAAATAATATTTTTAGGAAACAGTATATTTTACTTGAATATATTGATGTGGTTATCTAACGTTTTCCAGAATCGTCACAACGTTTGAATCTTAGTGACGTTGAGAACAAGCTTCATATATGTTGAGGAAAATAAACGTGGTCAAATCTTTAAATAATGTGTCATTGTCCCATAAGAAATAGAAGTTAGTTTAAGGCAAAAATCATATGTACATTATTCAATGGTAATTACCTTTCTGTCACATCAAATATTGGCCAGTAGGCCTGCAACCAAACAGTTCATGGGTTGGTTGTCCACATCGCCCTCGGATTATGTAAATGTCATAGTATTTCATGGTTTTTACAAAGATAGTTTCTGCATTATGTTATGTAAATGTAATCCACATATGCGATGGGAACCCTTTCACGGACCTCATTAGACACTCTTGTGTCAAATTGGTTTGTTGTGTTTTGTTAGACCACATTTTCGTGTCTATTTTCAGACTGTTTGTGAAGCAAAAAGGTTTTATGGTTCGGCTTTGATACAGGTTTCCATCCTTATTTCGAAAGCTGAGCTGGGATTAAAGTTTAACTTTTAGAAATATAACAATGTACCAAAGGTAGAAGCATGTTTTGATCACACACCATTTGTGGGTGTTGTGAACATCTGTTAGGATCACGACAACAAAAGATTGATCTTTGCAGCCCGTCTGAATACGCCGTCGTACACAAAAGGCAGCGTTCTAAATGTCACTTGATTTGCGAAAGTTGAACAGCAAGCTCAATGCACTACATGGGATCAATAGCAGGGAGATATCTCGCTTTTTTCGCTTCATTTGAATCTTTATATAGTTTCTCGGAGCATTTGGATCCACTCTGCTCATTCCGTTACGTACATGATATTTCGGGAAGCAATGGAATAGTGACATTGCATGATTTCACTGTAAACCGAATACCGACCGATTGCCCTGATTATTCATGGCCACCGACATTTGAGTGAGTGAGTGAGTTGGGTTTAACGCCGCTTTTAACAGTATTCCAGTTATATCGCGGCGTGTCAGCTTAATGTGGGAGGAAAGCCCGAAGTGATGCAGGTCTTAGACGTTTACCACTTCAGTGAAACCAGCGAGCACGGGTATGGTGCTGACAAACCTAGAAACATAATCGGGGCGAACCGGGATTCGAACCCACAATCATAAGTTACTGGCGTGCCCAAGGGACGCAACTCTGCACAGCGAATCGCGGCGCCTTAGACGACTTGGCCTCGGGATCGGGTGGTCAGGCTCGCTGACTTGGTTGATGCATGTCATCGATCCCAATTGCGTGGATCGATGTTCACGATATTAATCACTGGATTGTCTGGTCCAGACTCGATTATTTACAGACCGCCGTCATATAGCTGGAATGTTCCTGAGTGCGGCGTTGAACAACAAACAAACAAAGAAACAAACAAATCAGGAGTCCATTGCACGATTCCAACTATATCTTATAAACCTACTTTCTGTTTGTGTAACTCGATATGGAGTTTTTGAAATTGTGGTAACACACCTCGCAGGAGGTATTACAATCATTGTAAACCCTTGATAGAACAAAAACTACGAACAGCCTACGAGACGCACGTGCAGATTTCGTGCCATTGCGAGACGCACGTGCTGAGGTCACCGGTTTCATTGAACCGAGTTCACGACTGCAGGCGATATTTCATCTACGATACAGGTTATACATTTGTTTTTATTACAGTTATTTAATTAAAAACGTTGTCTATTCGATGAGTCGGTTTATAAGTTGGACAAACCATGTCTCCTCGAGATTACTAGAGATTGTAAACCCTCATGTGAGGGTTTACAATCTCTAGTAATCCCTCGGAGACATGGTTTCTCCTACACATAATTCAAGGTTTACTTAGGCCTTGAATGTTGTGACAACAGTCGTATGACATCTTCGGAGAAAGAGAATGCTCCAAATGTCCTGAGATGTCGACACCAAAGGTTGGAGCTGCTGGACTATTGATCGACATGAAGGGAAAGTTTCAATGTTGGAAAATTGAAGTGGTCCATCTTGCCATACGGTCTAGTAGATATATTTATCATTGTGGATTTGTATGCAAGATCTAAATATGAAAATGGTGAATATGTCACTGGTATCTTGTGTTTCTAACTCAGGTGGGTAAATCAGTCGACAGGTACGGGTACACCGCCAAAATTAGCTGCAATAGGTTTGGTCCTGGCCAGAGGTTCTAAGGCTTTGAAATGCCATGAAACCTAAAGTGTTTTGGAAATAAAGGACCGACCGCTTGATATTCGGGTGTATTTGTTGGGTTGGTACAGGGGAATATGCTTGAAATAAATAAGTATGCCTCAGACTGGTGAAAACACGAAATTGTCAGCCACCAAACATATTTGGCTGCCAAATGTATTTTTTCCAAAATATTTTTCGGCTCATGGTTTTAAGTAGAAAAGAATATCAAAGACTAACAATCCTAACACGGTTACCGTGAACCTCTACAGTCTCAGTAGTAGCTGCAGTCGTTGTCTCAGCCATAGCCGAAGCTATATACGTAACAGTAGCTGTCGTAGTCGTCGTCACAGTCGCTTTCACTGTTCCACTTCCCGGCATGGTCATTGTATGTTTGTAAGCAAGACATCTTTCAGTCAGCCTTTAATCATTCAACACCTGCATCGATTTTTACCTTATCGCATAAAATTCTTGTCATTAATAATTCAAAGTAAACAGCTCTTGTCAACGTTTAACGTGACTAACAGTTCAGCGCAGACAAACACCATCATTAATAACGGCATCTCATTAACAGTCGTCAATATTGATCAGTGTCAAATCTGGAACGTGTTTGCCTATTGAGGCGACACTCTGCGACCCGACATATATTATTCAGAACTTGCGGTATCACCAATATTGAACTCATTGTACCCAGATATCTGATTACTTTGCTGATTGATCCACATCCTGAGAGAATAAGGGGATAAGTTTGTTTCCAAATACTTGTAACGTGATACCTGATTCGTCGGTGTGCGTTGTTAATAGATAACTAAATACCCATTACACACGAGGTGAATTTACTGGTTACAACTTTGCCTATGTATATATTATGGTGATTGCTTTCTTACAACGCGGTCGAGATATTAACGATTTCTGCATCGTAGCTTTCTTTCAGTTAAAGCATGTCATTTCCCCTTGACATATCCAATATTTAGGTGTGACTGATACATGTATTATCATTGACTGTCCGCGGTTAAAA